GTTTGGCTTTGCAACTCACTTTGGGCTTATTGGGAAGAATGTAACTCACTCATCAATGCTTCAGACATAGCTCCTTATGCTACAGCAGCCATATCTAATTTCTGAAATTGCGTGGAAGATGAGGGAAGGGATCTTGAAGTTATATGGAGGCTAAGGCATGGATTGTCAACTGTTTATCCACTGAATATTTACTTTATTAATTCATCAAAAATAAATAATCCAAAAGCTGATGCTAATAATCACGTTTCTCTGGTGGTGAAGAAAACCAGGATGTGAATTTACATCCAAATGCAAATCTAAGACAGGAATCTGTGTTTGAAGTAGCTAACAAGGCTGTCCTCCCAAGCAGTGAAATATTTCTTTTATTGCATAACTTTTCCTAATATTTCCATTAATTTTCAATGTATTTACTTATTTTGCATGAATAATTTCCTTTTATTAACTGCCACATTAACAGTACTCCATCATAATTATTAATTATAGTGTTCTATCTAGTAATCATTTTGAAGAAACACATCATTTTTACAGCTAATGGAAAACTTTAACATCCTTGATACATACCACACCAAGACTGTAAACAGTCAATTTTAGAGCATTATTGCTGCTATATGGCTGCTAATTTTATTTTGATGAACAAACCATATTTTAAAATCTTTTCTTTCCTTTTTATTGAGTGCAGGAGAGAAAAGCTAAAGATAACAAACCCTGTAATAGTAAACAAATTATTGCTTGCTTTTAAGATTACAGCATATTAGTATTTATTGTTCATTAGTCCTATAGTCAGTGCATTAGGTACTGTACAGTAACATACGATAATACATTCTGCCTGTCTGAAGTTGCTTTGTAGTTAAATCATAGTTGTGCTTCCTACATGGTATGTTTGGTCTGTGAAGAGACAAATATCATGTAGAAAACACTTAAAAATTTCTTTGTATATAGTTAGCACCATATAATATTTGTGAGTCTCTGTAATTCTTGCTTAAGATGTTTTGAAATCACGATAATACACCTGGAGAATACAGATATATTATGCTCTATTTAAGTTGTGATACAGGTGTGTCTACCATTGTATCTAAATTCCTTCCCAAGTATTATCTACTATTTGAGTTTTTTCTTTTATTTTTTGTACCCAGGGAAAACTATGTTGAAAAAAACCACGAGCACACCATTCTGTGTGCCTTTCCTTACGTTAGTGGCATCGTTGCAGTGCTAGAAAGTCAAGGATGCTCGTCACTGTTCTTTATGTAGGATGTTCCATGGTCTTTGAATACACAAAAGAAAGCTCCTGTTGCCTGTGCAGTCCAGCTTTTCCCATTTTGAGGACATTTCTCCTATACTTCAGAAGCACTGTGTTTGTCTTTCTGTCAGGGATTTGAGTGATTTTGTTACCATTCTCAACCTGATGCGTCTATTACTGTGAGGAACTGGAGAGGGGAAAGGGGGACCTTGGATGCGGCATGGTATTGTGTGGGAAAAAAATATGATTTATGGAGGTCTTTGCTGCTGAGGAGATTGTCCGCTGCTCTGTGCAGTAGTTAGAATTTCCTAAAGCTGGCAGCTCTGTGTCATCTTTGACATATAATAGCACCCTAATAGAGTAGCTGTAGTGGGATTAATCTCTTCTAGCTTTAGACATCTACCCTCTTGACCTCTATATCAGAGCTAGTCATCATAAGCTCCCCTGGAGGAAGGTAGCCCTTAATAAACTTTGTAGGCTACTTACCTAGGGGTAAAAGTCCATTTTCTCATTATACCTGACAAATACGTAGTGCATTTTTTCCAGTCCACACTCAAACCACTTTTGCATTTTCCTCTGGAGTATAGAAAAGAGGAAAACTTCCTTTATGGGTAGACAGCCTAGCAAATTAGCTAATCAAAGAACGAGAGCTGACATCCTCACGGGTTTTAATAGGCTTAGTTTCTGCTGGTGATGATTTTGGTCCTGCTCATTTTATCGTTTCTTGCACAACCAAGCAGTTTCAGTGCAGTTCTAATACGAGTTTGCTGCTGCTTTTTGCTTTGAGATGATCGAAAAAAGTGTGATGGTGAACAATATTAATTCTTTCTAACCTGTTGTCTTCAGAGCAGGTCAGGCTGACAGAGCACAAATGTGCAGTCATCCTTCAAGGTGTGTGGCATTCAAGGTGTGTGGCAGCACACGTGCTTTCTTGGGAACTCTATTTCTGCCATGTCTGTTGTTCAAAGTGCAGAGAGTGGGGTTAGGCAGGTGTGTCAGTGCCTCCGCACAGTATATTGCCATTGCAGAAGATGCTACTTGAGCATTTTCCTTAGTAGATACCAAGCAAAGAACTGGGAATGAGCCGATATTTTGCATGTAGTTATGTACTTTTTTTAAAAAAAATAACTTTTTGGGGTATCATTGCTTTCAATACATGCAAACACAGTCATATACATTAACAGATGTATAGATAGGTGGTTTTTATTCCAAGTTAAGACAAAATAAGAAGTAAAGGTTAATTGAGAAAGCACTAACAAAATTTGTACCTTAGAGGATGTATTTTGGCAGTTTGTCTTTCAGTCAAGACACTGAAAGTTCTTGACGTTTGCTGGATTTTACTGTTTTCTGTCTGCAATTTGTAAACTTTTTTCTCTGTAGTTCCCTGCCATAGTTAAATAAAATAAAATGACAGGCTATTACTGCTTGTGTTGTTACATATGTTTTATTTAGCTAAAAGGAGTAGTCAATTACTCCATTTGTTAGCTGTTAACATGTATTTTATTTCAAGCCAAAGGAAAAAAGGAGGCTGGCCTAAAATTCTCTTCTGCTCAAATGTACCAGTCCTCTTACATTTTAGGGCTGGCTGGTTCACTTCTTTCAATGCTGCGCAGTGCCACCCCATCTCTTTAGTTCTGTTCTGCATTATTTTGCGCACATATTGTGCATTTATACATAGTGAGCTTTTGGTGTACTGCTCATGTGTCCACAGCTTTTATAATCCCTGATTCCTTGGCATTGGTGTGCAAACCACTATAGATGCCAAGCACATAGCAAATTTTGAACGTTAATAGAAACAAGCTTTAATTAAGGCGAAACAGAGCTTGTAGAGGATATTCATTCTAATGCATCTGTGTCAGAAAATTGGTTGCAGAGAACATGAGGAAAGGTGTGGTCTTCCTGAAGTGCTAATGGGAGCAAAGCGCCTGCACCCAGTGTAGCACGTACCTTGTTTGGCGATGAGCAGGGATGATTAGACCCAGCAAAGAAAGCTGCCGACCAAAAGGTCGGATCACGTTCTCCTGAGCAGTCGTGTTGGATTTGAGTTTTGAAGAATGAGCTTCCCTCCAGGCAGTTCCACAGGAGCTCCTTTCTCCCATCACCAGGCCCTTTTGTTTTCAAAGGTCTCCTATTAGTTTCCTAAAATGGGAACAGCTTGTCCTTGATATCTATAATGATTTATTTTTCTAAGCAATTAGAATTGTTTTCTTAAAGCTATAGCAGCTCCCTCATTAAAGGGAATGAATCATCGAATAAAAAATGCAAAGGCTCTGAGTGTGAAAGGCGTGCTCAAGTTTCATTTGATTTCAAGGAAAGGCTGTAGGGCTTGAGGCAAGCAGGGCAGGATCAGTGTCTGAAATCAGGTTGTTTCCACACAAAACCCATTACAAGAATGGACCATTCCCAACAGCCGTACTTAGAAAGCCTGAGCATCCTTTTCCCGAACAAGCAGCAAGCCTGAGGGGTTTTGCATCACCAGCTTGTAGAACCAGATGCAAATGCAGGTACCCTGCGGCTTGCACACCTGCTGCTGAATATTTAAATGTGTTTGGAGATCACATAAATTTCTCAGTGTTTTGTGAAGAGTTTCATGAAGAGTTTTATCATTTAGAGCACTTCAGTAATTTGAAAATCAGAGTTTTAATGGCCTGCGCTTACCATCTCTTTTTTTTTTTTCATTGTTAAATACGGCAATATTATCAGACCTAAACCCAGTGTTTTCTTTAATTGTAGACATTAATTTCCATATATAAGAAAGTATTATTTTCAGATGTTCACCTTTTTTATTTCATGAATACAATCTGTCTAAAAATGAAAACATCCTTCCACACTTTGAAAGTTTTGAGGGAAAGAAAAGACAAAAGTTTTTCTTCCCTAACAGGCAATTTTGCTGTTTTCTGTGATTTTTCACCCCAATTTTTTTCACTTAACTTTAAAATGTTCCTGTAATTTTATTTTTTTTTAATAATACCATGGAGCTAATTAATGAGGCCTATTGTCTAAGACTTTTAAAGTGTTCCAATATAGAGTTATTATGACATGACCAAGTCAAGTTAGCAAATTCTGAAATGAAATAAAGTATTTTAAAATTAATGTTTTAGGCTTCTGTATCCGTGTTGAGGCCCTTATGTTAGTGATCACAGCTATTAGCAGATACCATGAACCTTAACTGAAACTTAACTTATGAAAACTAAGCATTAACATTAGTAGGATTTTACTGTAATTTACTGTTCTTCTAAGTACCTGTGTAGCCTGTTGATGAGAAAATCTTTATGTCACTGCAAGATGTGTATCACAGAAAGGCGCATGTATATACAACGTCTTTGCATTTTATTTTTCAGATACAGTTTTGTGTACTACTTCAAAATACTGTAAATGTTTTTCTATTCATCTATTGGTTTTAAAAATGGGGAAGATGGCAGTATTTACCTATTACCTTGTTTATCATTCCATGAACATCATAATTTTGGGTAGTTGTCAGGGGGACTAAATGAAAGAAATGGAGGAGCAAGAAAAAATGTACCAACCATAGCTGAATTTCTTAAGATTTGAAATGCTCCCTTAGACTAGAGTGATACTTGAATTGTTAGAATTATTTAATAAGTGATAGGAATGTTTAATGTTTTTATTAAGCATTTTTTCAAAAAAATATTTAAAATCAAATTAAACCAACAGCAAAATAGGCAAGTGACAGGGAAAAAATATTTTTCTAGTTACGCTAAGTATGATTGACTTTTGTGCTTCTCTTTTTTTCCTTACCAGGATTACACTTTGACTATGTATTTTCAACAGTACTGGAGAGATAAGAGGCTGGCTTATGCTGGCATACCTCTCAACCTCACGCTTGATAACCGAGTGGCAGATCAGCTCTGGGTGCCTGACACTTACTTCTTAAATGACAAGAAATCATTTGTGCATGGTGTTACCGTGAAGAATCGAATGATTCGCCTTCACCCGGACGGAACGGTGCTTTACGGCCTCAGGTCTGTACTTCTATGATGAAGATTTAATCACTGTTGTTGTGTATTGTTGATATTTGCTTCCCGGTGCAAGGTTATTACAAACATTGGGTAGCGTATTATGTAACCTTCCCTGTAACTCTGAAAGATGCCCGTAGAAAACAAATGACACACTTGATGTTTCTTAATTTTGCCAGAAGCACCTTCAGTCAGGTTTTATCTGTTTCTGTAGAGTCACCATATCTGGAAAGCCCACTGGCTATAGGAAGCAGAAAGGCACGCAATAATTGTAAACCTGAAAATTTTGCCCAAACTACAGGCAGTAAGATTGAATGTGGGCACTTACGTTGTCTCTTGATGTGTCTGTAGTCTATAAAAAAAAGCCATAAGTAACTCTGGTTAAATGGAGTCAGCCACAGTCAAGAGCATGACTATGGGTACCTTCAGTGATTTTTTCAAACAGGGATCAGCACTGCAATATGTTACACTTCAAATCACAGGTACAAAGTGACCTTACATTATCCTATTTTCTATGTATTTTAGGCTTGACCTGTGTTTTCTTCATTTTCTGTCATAGCTTTTAAGGTTAGGAATGCTGAAAAATCCTTCCCTAAATAAATGTAATTACACTAGCAAAAATTGTAATGGAAGACTCAGTAGTATAAAAAAGTTGCTTTTTTTTTTGGACAGGTTACTCTACTTGCTCCAGTGGTTTAAAGTATACCAGCAAAACAAGTCTTTGCCAGTGAAAGCTCCATCATCGCAAGTTTCTTATATTTTTAAGCACAGATAATACCCAAGATTGCTGCACATACATAGTGCAGGATAAAGAGTCCTTAGTATAAAAACGAATGAGAACTGAAGAGTGGTGCAGATGGATTATATGACTAGTTTACCTGATGCTGTTTTTTATCAACAGTTGAACTTTTTACATTACTTGGGACTTGGTCTCTCACCTCTTTAACTCTTATTACATCTCATGGATGAACTATAATTGGATGAATCTTTCTAGACAAAATAAAAACAGATTCAGCCTATTATGCAACTTGAAAGAAGTTCAGAATGTTCAGGAAATGTTGTCTCTATAATTAACTGTTTTTAGCAGTAGGAGGCTTTCATCTCACATGTTTTTGACCAAATATGGAACACTGCAGGTTTAGGATTCCTTCCACAAGTAGTTTAATACCAAAAAAATGATGCAAGATATTTTTGTTTCCTTTACTCTACCTCAAGAACTATCCCCACAAGCAATGTAATAAAAAAGTGATAGAGATTAGAAATCTTGTGATCTTAATAATGTATAGAAGTGTTTCTGTCACACTAAAAATGTTCGGAGTCATTCAGGTGAGGATTATCTGTCATAAAATAGTGTATTTGAATAAGTTAGCCTCCTCTTCTACATAACTTTAATGTCCACAGGCAGATTGCATTTCACTTGACAGTATTTGCCTGGCAGGGATTTCACCAGTGGCTCACATGTGGCAAACTTCTTCCCGTTGCCTTCCCTCTGAAAGCACACTGTATCCATCCTTAATGAAGGATAACTGTATGAAATTAAAACCTGGCAAAATATAGGACATTGTGATCAGAAGGAAGAAAATATCTGAGTGTTACCTTTGTTGATTTATAGACTTGAGCTCGGTGTTGCTCTACCACTAGCCTAACTTCTTGTATTATGGCTTCAGAGCATCTCGATGGCATTGGCCTCAAGCTGCAGTCTGGATGCAGTGATTCATCCTGTGGGCTGAGACCAGAACCCGGCATTTCATGTGCCACAAAACACAGAATCACTGAGAATAATAGGGGAAATTTTGGAGGGTTGCAACCAATTATAGAATATCCATGGAACAAAGCAGTTCCTCAAAAATTTATCACAAAAGTGATCCTGAGGCCACACTAGCTCTGTGTTCTCTTCTGAACAATGTAGAATTTATCATAGTTTTGAAAGACTTGACCTTCAGTTATCCAAGGTTTCTCTCTACTTCAGAGAAAGCAGTTTGCTACCACAGCAAAAATCTGTGAGGGTGGAGGAATGGGGCAATAGCTTTTTGAAGTTCAACCCATTTCTGGGGAATTTTTTACTTTGGAAATGATACTGACTTCGTTCTACCTTGTTCACAACAATATACAAAACATATGATGATACAACAGCCTTTTTTCATAACAGACCAAAAAAAGAAATAATGACATTATAGACTGGGTATCAAAAATAGAGTCTTTCTGACTGCTTGTGTGTTTGCAACCACGCTTATTTCTGTTCTTTTTTGGATGAGTGTATTTCTGTATCAAGATGAAAAGAAGATCAAGTTAGTGATCAGGACTGTGAGCTAGTGACAGAAGTATTTCTATTGCTCAGACTGATTTATATTGTAAACTTTTGGGGGACAGAAAATATCCTTCTGTCAGTTGTTTATGCAGCACATGCCAGCACATCACAGGTGGGGTTCCTATACAATATATCAAAATAATGAAAGGCAATCAGCCCAGTAATAATGTAGCAGAGAAGGGTAAGAGAAGCTATATCCAGAGGACAGGTGACTGGAGTAGGGAATTTTAAGCAATTAAAAATATTTCCTTTGTGTATTGCTTTCACCCAAAATGTATGTGTATCTGTGTACCGCTTTATCTTTGTCTGGCTTGTAATTGTTTCTCTGTCACTGCTGTGATGATGAGTTCGTGAAACCTAGCTGTCCTGCTGTGTCAGGCAGCATCTCATCCCATAAAAAAATAAAACCTGCTCTTCTTGAGAGCGTGCACAAACCTAAGCAATTAACATTTGCTTTTGGTGAGTATTTGTGCAAGTTAAATTTGGTTGCTTGAACTTTCATTTGGGAGGGACCTCTGACCACTCAGCTTACTTTGACTAAATGGGGTAAATGTTACTATCTAGCTGTATCTTCTTTTCCAGTGGATATTTTTGATATTAAAAGCGTACATTTTGCTGTAGTGTAAAAAGTTTCTTGAGCAGAAATGTGCAGTTTCTGGTGCTGGAACTCGTGACAGAACCACTATAGTATGTGAACAGGCCGAAATAAAAATACATTCCTTAAAAGGTCATAAGGAAATTAGTAAGTTGAATGCAAGTTTGCCAGCTGCATAATTTTTAATAATTCTGACAAATTAATCATTTGTAAGTTCCTATTTTCTGTATGACTGGCATTTAAAGCTAGTTATACAGCATAATAGTTAAGATGCTGGTACTACAGTCCCTCTTGTATCAACTTAGCTCATGCAGATTCTGCTGCAGGATCTTAAATGAGCCCTAGGTCAATGTAGGGGAATGTAGGAAAGCATGGCATAGAAACCTCATAGCAGCAATGCCCAAGTGTGCCTGCTTGCTCTACTTAGAGCACAGTTATCAATTGACTCTGGAGCAAGATCATTTGATTGCACAATCGGTATGGCTTTGTAAAGCCAATCGCTGCTAAGACCTTGTTCATCAATGATCACAGATTTAAGACTGTTTTCTCTTCTAAGACCCTAGGCTAATCCTAGTTTTATATGCTTAGCTAGAGCTCTGTTGTGGTTTAACCCCAGCCGGCAACTAAGCCCCACGCAGTTGCTTGCTCACTCCCCGCCAGCAGGATGGGGGAGAGAATTGGAAGGGTAAAAGTGAGAAAACTCGTGGGCTGAGATAAAGACAGTTTAATGGGTAAAGCAAAAGCCGCGCGCCCAAGCAAAGCAAGACAAGGAATTCATTCACCACTTCCCATGGGCAGGCAGGGGTTCAGCCATCCCCAGGAAAGCAGGGCTCCGTCAAGCATAACGGTGACTTGGGAAGACAAACACCATCACTCTAAATGTGTGTGTCCCCACTTCCTTCCTCTCCCCCCAGCCCTTTATATACTGAGCATGACATCATAAGGTATGGAATATCTGTTTGGCCAGTTGGGGCCAGCTGTCACAGCTGTGTCTCCTCCCAACTCCTTGCCACTCTCTGGTGGGGTGGTGTGAGAAGCAGAAAAGACCTTGGCTTTGTATAAGCACTGCTCAGCAGTAACGAAAACATCCCTGTGTTAGCAACGCTGTTTTCAGCCCAAATCCAAACCATAGCCCCGTACTAGCTACTATGAAAAAAATTAACTCTATCCTGGGCCAAAACCAGCACAAGCTGCTAGTAGTCATCATACTGAGGAGACATTCATCGCCTTAAGTAATAGCCCTGTGTTTAGCACCTTGCTTGAAGGTCCAGAAGGGCACTTGTAAATGTTCAGTGCAAAGAAAATGTCCCCCTAAAGTACGGAGCAGCTGAGGAATTTCCGTTTGTAAATTATTCCAGCCCACTGGGACATGTGCTAACAGAGGAACCAGAGCATCTCCCAACAGGCAGCTGGGGGAGGGTTGACCTGAAGTATCCTCCTGTGATACAGTACTTGATACCTGAAAGCTTGTGGGACTAACATAAGGGTATTCAGAGGACACCCAGCGTGGACAGCAGTGGCAAAGACATGATCATGCCATAGATAAGGCTGGGAAGGACAAAGATCAGGTGTTGGCCTTTCTTACTGGCTACCGGTAGGAGCACAAGTGAGAACGTATGCTGAGTAACAGATCCTTGAGCTTCTTCCTCTCCTGGCCCATCCATTGCCTTTGTGCACATACAGCTGTCTCTCCCTTTGCAAAGAAATTATAATATTTTCTTGCAAAAGCATCTTCTCAGTAAGAGAAGGGGAGCTTCTGTTGTCCTATAAGATAGTTATAATGGTCTTAATCCCTTCCTTTGGATATTATGTGTAGTTAACCATCTGAAATAACCTATATGCTAAGGGTAAACATTTTTCCTTTCTTTTCTGGGAGAATTGGGTAAGGTATTCATAACAATACCAGTTTTTTCTTTAGTGTGAAAGAGTTGAAGAAAGGCACCTAACTACTTCTCTCCTCTTGAAATGATACCCCTGAATTTGAAACTAGTTTACCAGATTAGAAGGCTGTCATTTCTGAAGGTTAAGGGATTAAAGAGAAAGCTTCAAAGCTGAGAAAACACATGGACAAAACCTTAACACTGAGGGTTCCACCTTTTAGAGGTCCGTTCAAAGCACTTCCCCTCTTGTGTTATGAGCATAAATTATCACCAGAATATTATTTGTTTAGGAATTAACTGTGTACAAGTCCATGTCTTGTTTATATCAGAAAAGTATCAGTAAGAAACAGACCAGTCAGGCCCAGAAGATAATATAAATGTGAAATTTATATGACACATTATAAAGAAATGTTACATAATAATGTACATACTCTTGGTGAAGGCTGTGATTCAGCAAAACACTGAAATACACTGAAGAGTAATCATGACCATATGGTTATATCTGTCTAAAAGTTAGTACAAATATGTAAGTCCATTAATTTAAACATAAAGTGCAAATGCTGTGTGAAGCTGTTAATGCAATTGTTTTGGTTGTACAAGTATATTGTTGACACTCCTGACATACAAGAGCCGCTTGAAAAATGCAGATTAATCAATAATGAAATTTTTTGCAAATTCATCATTAATGTGCTCAATTACCTGTATTAGAAATAAAAAAAGCAAAAATATATTGTTATTTGGAGATAAAATTTAAAATTTAATATGGCATTTCATTACAAAATCCTCTTTAGTTTAAATTTGAAAACTAGAGAAGTATACTCAACTTTGAAACAAAGCATTTTGTTGGACTTAAGACTTTTTTTTCAACATTTCAGGTTTTTTCTAGAGCTGCCACAGAACCAAGAAATGAGTTATTCACACATCTCTAATCATTTTGACATTTGTAGCAGACTTTTTTCGCTTCACGTTATAAAGAATATAAAGTCATATTCTTTAATCTCAGCAATGTTTGTGTAATATTTGCACATGCAGATAGGTCCATTGAACCCCAAAGGGACTGGCTGTATAAGGGTAAGTCACAATGAGTTGTTCCATTGCAGTCAGTGTAACCGCTGTTGTGTTAAGCTGCTGCTCCATGTAAAATGATGGACCAGATTCTCAGTTACTGTAAACTATTCTTCGGAGAGTCCTCACTTTGAAAAATAAACAACAACAACAACAACAAAACCTAGATTACTGGCTGTACAGTAATTCTGTTTGATGTTTGTGTTTCAGAATCACAACCACTGCAGCTTGTATGATGGACTTGAGAAGATATCCATTAGATGAACAGAACTGCACTCTGGAAATAGAAAGCTGTATGTACATATGGAAATGCATGTAAAACCTAGTTCACCTGCGGGGCGGTTTTCCTTTTATAGAATGGTGCTGGTGTCTATAAAAACTATGTGAATCATGTAATTATCACCCTTTGGGTTTGTTTGCTTGTTTATTTGACTTTTTAAAAAAAATATAAGGGGTCATCCATTTCTAGATGGATGAATACATCCTAGGAAAACGGGTTTAGGACAGAACGAAGCCATTTATTGCTCCAGCCTGACTTGGCAGAGGCAATGACTGGATGCTTGTCTTCAACACAAGAGATTGGATGTTCATATTTAATCAGATTCATTTTCAAGAGAGCAAACACTGTGATATCATTTTCTTTCAGTATGCTTTATTATGCATGGATGGTCTTGCCACAGGACACACCCCCCCCCCGCCCTGGGCTTTCAGATTGGCCCCATTTAAGATTTGCAGTTCTGTTCCACACAGAACCAGATTCTGTCTTCCATCTAGTTCTGTCCTGGGACTGCAATATTCATATGTATATTTGTGCTTCAGGAGTTCCTGCTCCATTTCTGCTACTGACTGGAGATTGTGCACTGTGTACAGAAAATACCAGTACATATTCTATATTCAGTTGGAGTACTCCACTACAGAAGCAAATGGAAATGGTGCAACTCACACTGTTTAGTGTGAGTGGAAAAGATCTGCCCCAATTATGTTTGTCTGTATTCATTGAATAATTCACCTTTTACTGGTGGTGATTATCAGCACAAATACACACTTGGTTTCAGTGCTAAATACCTATGATGTCTTAAATCATGCTAATCTGCAATTTTGCAGATTATTGGGTAGCATTTTCTGTCTCATTGGGGCCATTAATCCTTATGTGAATTTTATGAGAGTGATACAAAAAAAAAACCAACAAAAAACCCACAGTATTTTGCCGCAAATTCCTGCGCAGACTGTAATGGCACAGCTTTTCAGGAGACCTTCCCACAGGCATACAGAACAAAATACTGTACACCACTCCAGCTGTTCTGATTCTTTTCATTGTCTCAAATGACAAACTGCGGATACTGTGTTTGAAGCTACATTTGAGTCTGGTGTTATTTCTGACTTACTCTCCTGCTTTGCCTGCAGATGGCTACACAACCGACGACATAGAGTTCTACTGGAGGGGTGGAGATAACGCGGTCACTGGCGTGGAGAGGATTGAGCTTCCTCAATTCTCCATCGTGGAGTATAGACTGGTGTCAAAGAATGTTGTCTTTGCCACAGGCAAGTATTGTCATTTGCCCATTTAGTGTTTAATTTCCTTGTGTATGACAATTACTGTTTTATTAATCATAATTAATCATTATTAATCATAATTATATATAGTCTGTGTTGTGTGCTTGGGTAAAGAAATTACTTACTTGATAAAGCCTGGAGGCAGGAGTCCATGAAATAGCATTTCTTGTTTATTTTTCTTCTTCTTGTGTGTGTGTGATACTTAACCAGACACCTAAATATCTATGATCTAAATAAATATGAAGTAATTCACCTCTGAATCATCAGTTTAAATGTAGCCTACAGGGTTACTGATCATGCATAAGTACGTTTTGGCATACTAGGTCAAAAAGCCACTGTTTTTATGAACACCTCCCTGCAACCTTTCAGTGTATGTTTGTTTTGTTGTTGTATAGTGAATGCAATGCCTGTTATATCTTGATTTGCACTGATGGGTGTATAGTACTGTATACATAGCCAATGCTTTTGTAATCATTGTTAAGATGCTAAAATTAAATGCGGGGGTTTCCTCCTTGTTTCCTTGAAGATGTAATAAAAGTTACTGGTAACACACAGCATTGGATGTCTTCAGGTGACAAAGCACAACAACGTTGATGTACATGTTTAGTGTTAGACAGTGGTATAGGAAAATGTTATGTGTGACAAGATCAAAGCATCACAGAAAACCATCAGCAAGTGTGGGGCCACTCTTTGGGACCTCCAGCTTTTCAGTGCTCTTCAGACCACAGGAGTGTACTGTTCTGTCTGTCCCAGCGCACTAGAACAAATGAAGCACAGCTCTTACGTTTGTAAGCATCACTTCACCCACTCTTTGGACACAGCATCTGTTTCAAAATACACAGAAACACCGAGTTGTATTTCAGAACAGAATGTAAATATTGCTGGGATTGAAATTAATATGAGGGGGTTTGCCAGCGCTGCTGTTCTTGTTTATCATTGTGAATGGAAGCGTTTTTTCCTATAGGGAAACAGATACCCTAATCCTGTAGCCTTCTGTTCTGCAGTATCACCTTTGGCAGCCAAAGCTTACCTGCTCCTCCACAGGACTGGATATGCTCTTGTAGGATGGCTCTTTTGGACAACAATGAGAATACAGAGAACTTAGTTGGGAAGTTTTTATGACAGTCCAAAGCCACCTTTTAGTTCAGTATGAAATATTTCAGTAAAGGCATGATTTAGTAATTTAGAGATGAGAGAGATTTATTAAATTCAGGAAAAAAAAAAAAAATCCAAAGAGCTGTGAGACAAATATGAGAGAGAATGAAAACTAGGAGTAGACATGTATATGACTGACCAAATTTTCAGAACCATAACAGTTCTTTACAAAAAAAACCACCTTGTGGAAGGAGTAAAACGGTCTCATGCTTTAGGGTTTAAGACAGCTTGACATTAGGGAGTAGGATGAGACAGTCACAGAGAACAGATTACTGCATGTTTCCTGAAGCATATAATTTTTGTCACTGATGAAGACATGATGGTGAATTTACTATTATTTTGGTACAGGACATAATTAATTATAAAAATTTGTGACAAATAATTCCATGCAGGGGAAACATTAGATTTGTTTCTCAAAACCACATATTTAATTCTAAATCTGAAGCATGTTAGTGAATCTGACAGATAAAGTCAGCACACTCTTTTCAAATTTCTTCTCAAGACCCGACTTTCTTATGGTCCTAGTAATTAGAACCAGTTTCTACAATTTTGTGGAAAATAAGTCAGGCATGCTTTTTTGGGGCTTTGAGGTTATTGAAGTCTCAAGGAAAGATAGTAGTTCTTTGAGTGCAATATCTCAGTGAACATTTCAGGGGTTTCAGTACTAGTGTGCTTTGATTGTATAAAAATAAAAGAGGACTTCAGAGTCATGTCATAAATGGCTTTTGGAGTAGTTATTTCTCCTATCTTCCACAAGGAACAGTGCTGTATAATCTTGTGTAACTTATGCAAATGGCAAAACCTGTTCCCATAGTTACTACTGAGAAGCAACGGTAAGCATGAGAAAAACCCCATAGATAATGACAGAAAGCTGTGCAGGGCTGCAAGAATACAGGAGGAACTGCATGCATGTTGAAGCATAGCATTGGAGTTAAAAATGATCTTGAAAAATTAGCAAATCAGGTCTGAAAATAAGTATAAAAGTCAGTATGGACAAGTGCAAAATACAGCATCTCTACAACTAACTATTCCTATCCAAATTCAGCATAGGGAATACCGGGTTAGGCCAGGATTCTCTGTGTAGAAGTCTAGGGGTTGCCATTGATCTCAGACTGAACATGAGCCAGTAACATCTATTTGGGGAAAAAAGACCAAAACACATCCTATAAGAAGTCTGACTTGCATTGGCCTAAGCTGAGTATTTGTGGTCATGGGTGGCACTCTACAAGGCAGTTGTGGAGCAATAGAAGAGAGTCTAGGGAAAATTAGTAAATATGAGTGGAAGTCTAGAAAATGGAATACCTGAGATTACCAGAGAAACAGGTATGATCATGTAGTTATAAAAAAGAGAACACTTGGTGGGAATTAAATAGTCTTCGTGTCTGCAAAGACACGAGCAGTAGCCTGTTCTCTTTATTCATGATGGAAAGAACAGAAAGTAATATTGAAATTGCTATGAAGAAGAAAAATCTGGTTTGACTATCCTTCTAACATCAGGTGAAGGCCTTACAGGCTACCCTAAGATGTCTAAAATGGCACTAGATGCCTATGTGTCAGTAACTGAATCAAGCCCATAGTGAAATGATATCAAATCAGTGCTGTCAATGGAGTCTAAAGAGCTATTCAGCTCTTGAACACCTCTATTCTGTCAAGTGAATAGCTCTTAGGACACTATTCAGTTGCCTAAACAGAGGTATCTGGTGCCTCTTGAGATGCTGTAGAGCATCGTGCTTAGCAGTTAGGCTGCTGTTCCAGAATCTTACAGTCTTATGTCATATCTGCCAATCTAGTGCTTCAGTATTAATTACTTAACTAGTATTAATTAAGTTCTACTCTTCAGTAGCCAAAGTAATCTCAAATGGCATTAGGTATAGGCAATTAAATTCCACTCTTAGAATCAGCTGACTGTTAAGTCTAGATCTCCATGGTTTATACTGAGAGCTTATGCACTGTCCATGTGTAAATATCTGCATGCAAACACCTGAAATTTAGTCCCTAGACCTGGGAGCTGAATCCACCTCCTAAATGTTTGTTATCCAGGAATGCTAAGAAACTGAACAGGAATGGGGATACATAAAACACCACCTAATAGCTTCAAGATGCACAGCAGTCAGAGCAAGATTACCTGTTGGTAAGAGGAGGGTAGTCTTAAAAGATTTGAAAATTAATTATTTGCTGTATTCTAAAAGATCAATCTGTAAAGTACATTTCCAATTAGCTGAAGAACCTTCCCAGAAGAACAGATTAAAATAAGATTTCTGTAACTGACCAACTGTTTTCTTGGTTCATACTTGGATAAAACAGCAAGAGACTAATTTAGCCTTGGAGCTAGATATTTCAGCTTGCTAGCTTTTAATGAAATTGAAACAGAAACAAGTAATTACTTTTCACCAAGTGTTCAAATATATGAAAGAGGAATATTTTGATTCAGTTATTGATTAAGTATTTGTTTTCATGCCTGCAGTCTGAATACTGTTGTTAGATTTAAATACTTCAGGCCAAATTCTGTTACTTCTGTACTATATAGATTAGCCCATATACATCAACATGTTATATGAGATGGGAGGAAGGGAAAAAAATCTGGTCCCTGAACAACACTGTTCTTAGGCAAAAACAAATTTTGATGGAATGTTAACAACTAGAATTTCTTGGTAATTAATCTCTAAATGTACTGAGCCTTAATTGACAAATCATTATCCAAGCATAATCAGGCAAGTAACAGTGTAATTGTTGAGCTCACCAAGAAATCCATTTTTATTGAATAAATTACACAAGATGGTTCCTTCTTAGATAAATAAAGATCTGAGTTTACAGTCTTTGTTCCATGCAGGTTAGGACCCATCCTTTTCATTGAGTTTTAGCCATCCAAAGAGGAGGAAATGGATAAGGGAAATAAGGAATGTTCCTTCTTTTAATTCTTTTTTTCCACAGATTCCTATGGTCTATTTGCTGGAGGTGAGATATTATAGCAGAGATGGCATGCTGGAGGCAGGGCCAATAGATCATCTGTGAAGGCATAAAAGCAATACAGGTGAAAGTAATATAAACTTTTGTAGTCTCAGGGAGAGCTACCTAAAGGAGAACTCCAGCTGCATAGTCTGATAAAACAAGGCTACCAGTTCATGTTTCAATTTCAACCTGAACTATACAAAGACCAAATTATTCTGAAACTTCCTGAGATCCAGACCTTCCAATAAAATTTGAGCTTGGAAAATAACTGCAAAACAGGATGACATTCTATTTACCTCTATGAAACTGAGCAATGTGTCAACTCCAGTAAGCAGCTGTGATGCCAGCAAGACTTTTGGTTAGATTGCCCAGGAGCTGCAGACCCTCAAAACCTACCCTGAGACTTGCAGAGCTGGGATTCATCTTGCTCTGATTTAAGGTGAATATAATTTCAGTGTCTACGTATGAACTAGATGTCTTAGTTGATGGGAATCCAGTCAATACAGTCCGTGAAGTCTGGAGACAAATTCAGTCCACCAATAACAGTCTATTTGAGGAGGAAATGGATAATTCTCTAAGTTTCATTTACTAGATTGACTAGATGAACTGACTCTCCTGTAAATGTAATTGGAGCTTAGAGACGTAGCTCATGTGTATGCACTTCAAAGGAGTCGCATAATCAACTGCTATTTGAGATGGCATAGGGCAGCCGCCTTAGTCTCCAGCGGCTGATCAGAAAGATGTAGGGGCTATGTCATATCCACCAGCTGCATGCTGGTGTCTGAGATGTCATAGGGCATCTCAAAAGGAACAGTGCACCTTCAGATTCTCAACCGAATCTCTCTGCTACAGTCCCGCTTCATCTCTAGAGCAGGAAGACAGCCAGCACTGAAAGCCCTGGCCCTAGGCATGGTTCTTAGGGTTCTCTCTTCCAGCTTCAGGGCAAAGAACCGGGTACTTGAAACAGCTTTACGTTGACATCTCTGGCCTTGAGACAATCTGTCTGGAGAGTCCATCTTTAAGGCCAGGTTCCACTAGTTTCATTAATTAACGTATCTCATTAGACAGAGATGGTGATGAGGTAATGGCTGATGGCCACGGGTGAAGCATTCAAAATAAATGTCTAAAGTTTGCTCTGTTACACTGTTTCTCAGTTCAGGACTGAAGACTGCTGACATACGTGACACATTACATCTCTCCACTGTGGACACACGCCTCCTCCATCCACACTGTTTTCCCTGCTTTATCAGCAGCAAAGTGCTCTCTTTCTTCTTTCTCTGAAGTTCCCCAGTGCTTCCAGTGCCCTTGGCACTGGAGCAGCCCAAGAAGAGGCTTTGATTCAGTGATTCAGTTCCACTGAACCTACTTGAATGAATCCTTCAGACTGTTTATTGAAGAATCAGTACTTTATGGGAGATTTTCCAGTCATCATCTCTCTCAATGATATTCCACAAACACCCAGACCTGGACAGGACTTTTGGAAAGGAAGAGATTTATTGAGAATCCTTTACATGAGCGGTGTATTATATGAAATAATTTTCCTCAACAGAGCTTTATGAAGATTTCTGTCTGGTGCATTAATCTTGCTGCAGAAAGGTGATCAGGTCTGCTACATTTTAAATGTATTTTGTAATGTCAGGGTATGTTCCTGTTTTATTTACATACTCTGCAGACAGAAGACCATGAAAACCATTTCATAAGAAGCTCCATGAAAAAGTTAAGCCTTGTTAGCGAAAAAGCTTGCGTGGTTTCAAGGAGAGAATTTGTCTTTTGAAATTAAACATTGTTCATTGGAAAATGAATACGTTAAGCAAGCTGAAGTCTACATGATTCTTTGCTGAAAATTATGTTAACTGCTTTAGACAGCAGAAAACCTTGGTCACATTTTCATGATGAAATAAATTCTTCTGACTATGCCAATATTCTTCTACTGGTGAAACTAGAAGGCGTTTAATCCTGGAAAAAATTACTACTGATTGAAGTAATCACAGCAACCAAATACATCTACCAGCTATTTCTTTTTCTGGTGATAGTTCTGGGATTGTTTGATAAAACAGTTAAGGATAGTTGCATAAAGTTTGATACTCCCTGGATGTTTCTGCTGCCTGGAAACGGTGTAGCATTTTTTCTGTCATATGACTCAGAAATATCTATCAGGAATGCGATGAAGAGAAATCTGCAGTTTTCTATTCCTTCTTTTGCTTTCTTTCTCAGGAAATCCATTATTCTTGTGTACATGGGTAAATATAATTTATTAATGCTCATATGCAAACATACAAACAATTTAAAGGGAAATTTTTTTCTTTGTTTCTAGATGTAATCTTTCATATCTTGCACATATTTGCATTAGAATGGGTAGAATGTGATCTAATATCTAGTTGGGCCCTTGGAATGTTAAAAAATGTTTTTTAGGATATTGACCATAACTAGAGCTTTTAGATGACCTATTAGAAGTATCATATCTGAGACCAGTAAGGCAAACACAGAAATGTGCATGGAGCTAATATGTGAATGACTACCATTTTCTTGTACAGCTGTACTCAGATTTAATCCTCTTTGCGTTTGGTGAAAGAAGTCACATTTTTTTAACTGTTTGAGATTTCTAAATATATAAAATATATTCAGTAAGATTAACACCAATTTTGAAATACACAAAATGGAAGCTAAATAACAAAATGTTTTGTTTGAAACATTGACATTGAGGTTATTAATTTTTTGCATTATTTATTTGCTCCAGTTGTAACAATTCGTGAATCCTATGTATGTATAGTATATATATACCCAGAGATATAAAAACATCTCTTTGTTTGCTTAAAATATTTTTGGAATAAAAATTCTGTCCAGCTGTAATTGATGTTAGAGGCCTTTGGATCTAGTCTGAAGGCTTTTCCTCACTGGGGTTCATTACAATTTATTTTTGACACCACAGGTAGCATGTTTCTCATAGTTCAAATGTAATTAAGAAGTGCCATCTCATGAACAACTCTTCCATGTAAATGAAGAACTATGCACATTACTAATTCTCTCAATATAAATACTATACATAAAACTGTGTATTTGGATAAGCATTTTACATGGAGACCTAAGCATCTGTTTTTAAAGACTAACTGGTGCTCGCCCATCTGTTCAATAATCTAGGATAACTGACTCTTTTTTCTTCCCAAATACAAATTGCTTGGATATCACTATATTCACTGCAAGGTTTCTTTTAATACCAACCAATAATACAGGGAAGGCATTTTCCCTACTGTTTTGCAGATGTCATACTACCTCATAAAATGTGCATGCTTTAGTTTCTGCAGAAACTGAAGACAAGTATCTGCAAGTGTCTTTTCTTCAGTGTAAATAACTCTGTTTTCCCCTCCCTTTCCTCAGGTGCCTATCCAAGACTCTCACTGAGCTTCAGGTTGAAGAGAAATATTGGATACTTTATTCTTCAAACTTACATGCCCTCCATACTGATTACCATTTTATCCTGGGTGTCATTCTGGATCAATTATGATGCATCAGCAGCAAGAGTTGCCCTTGGTATGTGCTAAGAATGAGTGGGACATTAAAATGTCAGACTGAATGTAGCCTTTCGGAGGTTGTTAAAGACTGCAATGTAATGTCAGTGTTTTGATATTCCGAAATAATTTACATCAAAATCACGTCATTCAGTATTGCCTCAAAAGTAATGAGTTTTCCCCTGCATGCAAGAATGTGGCTACCACTAAATCTGTGACATGAGCTGCTCATACAGGTCCCAGCCTTGTTCTCATCAAATTTGAAGTTGTTGTCAGTAGCTTCAGTGAGGGGACCAGCTCCAGAATCATACCCAGTCAGTGCGGGAGGACAAGTGTGGCTCCAAGATTCCACCTGAGGTCCTGGGTGCTTTAACTCAGTGGCAGGAACAGACCTCAAGAAGCATGTGCTAGTTCATAGCTCAGGGGCGCATCAGCTACAGACCATGACATCCCACCTCACCATCAGAATGCACAGTACACCAAGCGCATTTTTATCACAACTTAAAGTGTCATTTACCTCATGGCAGATAAACATGGATTTGGCACAGGTTGGTGATCCCTGTCCAAGACCTTTTCAGATCAAAGTATCCTTTAGATAAGGGAAGATGGCTTCAAAATCTCTCACAGGAAATATTTCATCTGTTACAAAGCATACTCGGGGATTGCTATAGACAAGGAAGATTAAATGGATCCATAAGTCCTTATGACTACTGCTGCCTTTCATCTCATCCCAAATCCCATCTTCAGCCCTGTGCTTCCCAGTAGCACATACCTTCCTACCCAATGCCTATGCTGTATAACTTCCTGCTATACTCTCTCCTCTTCTTAAAACAGGAACATATTCCCTAGTTCCCTTATTTTTCTGATATTTAACACAGCAAACTGGGACTCCAACCAATGTCCATATGATTCCCCATCTCTGCACCCCGTACCTCCCAAGGTCCTACCTACCACAGCATGCTGGGCATCTACAGCTATACCTTTGAGCAATATAATGTTACATCCTAGCATCTGAACTTGGATAACTGAAGATATTGTAGATTAACTGCAGTTATGGTACAGTAATTCTACAGATACTGTGGATTAGCTGGTACATATGGGCATGACACAATCTGGCATTACCACTCAGCAGCTACTGCATGTTCACCAGGTTGCAGCTAAGTAGTAGCTTAATGGGAGGTGGGACATAGAGTCCAAACACGTCTAATGTGTTCATAAATGAACTGCTGGATACCAAAGATCCACCCTTGAGACATTATGACCAAGTGAAGGGAACGCTTCAAACGTGTCAGTCAGCATCTAGATTTTACATGCTGGCCAGGACTGCAGAGAACAGATGCTTAGACAGAAGTTGCAAACCCAGTGACATTCCATGCCCTTCTATAATGGGTTCATGCAGTTTTTTCTTGTTTAAGGAATAGGACTGTCTCATGTGGCCTATTTCTGTGTAGCAGAAGTTCATCAAGTATAGTACTGTGATAACACAAATATTAGAACAGAAGTCAGAGAGTACATTCACAGCAAACTCAGGAGCCCAGATGTTCTATTTCCAATTGATAGAAAGTCCTTTTGAGAGGACAAAAATCCATCTAGTAGGTTCTTCTGAGAAAACAGTTAGTGCCTTGGTGATTATGTCTGCGATGTTTGTATAATAAAGTTTAGTACCATGGGTCTATCCCATATTCATTTGTATTGCCCCTCTTATGAGTCTGAAGCTGATACGAAATGGTGAAGTTTAAAGGCAATATAGCACCTTTGGACATACGTAACTGGCTCTGAAATGTGCAGTGCGGAGGAGGGTAAGGCCTGCTGGCCTAGGTATTTGTTAGAGGAAGGACTCTGTGCAATTCTTAGGGACACAGAGACAAGCTTTTACTCAAGCCCTGCAGGAAGCCTGTGTTCTCTGCAAAGGCCTCATTCTAGTTCATTTGCTTCCACGTTTCGCTCCTGTCCCTGGTCCCTCACTGCACATGCCATCTGTCCTCCAGCCTGCACTGACCCAAGTGGTTGCCTCAACAGAGAAACCCAGGCATGGAGCAAAGGGCAGTTCATTCCAGAGACTATGTGCTATGGACACTGCAGATAGAGGCTGATACAGGGCTGATCTCAAGAGAAATATTCAAAACCATCAATTCTGCTCTAAACTGAGTTTTTGCTAGTTAGCTCTAGAAGGTCCTTAATTCAGTCCTTTGAGTGAGGAGAAAATCTCTAGAGTTCTCACTCTTGGAAAGGACTGTAATCACAAGATTATCCTATTTTTCTGTGATTGCTGAGTGTCATCTGCTTCTCCTCCAGCTGTGCTTTAAAATAAATTCTTGATCTTCAGAAGGGCATTTGCCTGCAGGGTGTCATGATCTCCTGGGGGACATATTTCCTTTTGGTTAGTGATAGCCACCTTTCTGTTCAGTGTGCTTAATCTTCTGGATCACCAAGAGAGCCACCAAACTCTGCCTGTGTGGCGTTTAAGGACTTATCTCTAGAATCTAGATTCCAACCTGGGAACAGGCACCAAAAAGGTGGGCATTATAACCCCCACTGGGCAGGCTTCTAAGTCCCTTGTTAACCTAGGCTTTGGTAAGCATCTGTGGGATGATAGTGAGATGCCTAGGGTGTGTTGAAAGGCATCTGTGGGATTTCTGATACAAGAATCAATTTGATCCTAGGTAACTTGGAATCCCTTATGGGAAGCAGCAGCGGTAATCCTACAAAGAAGGAAACTAATTCAGGCTAGAGAAATCCCTTGGGCTGCAAACCTCTGATAGTGCTTGCAGCAGTCCTCCAGCTTTCTCACCCCTGTTCCTTGTGCTGGCATGGAGATTTTCTAGAGACTTTGTCAAAGTTTCTTTAGGTAAAAATAATGTGTCCGCTATACTCAATTTACTGCAGAGCTGGGTGAATTCTACCCAATACAATTTTTAAATAAGCTTGTGCTGCATGTATATCTGCTGTATTTCAAGCTATGTAACATCTGACATCAATGCACACTTGTTTCACAGTTTAGAGGAAAAGCACTGAAAAACCACATGATGCTAACCTACTAAATACACAAAATATCTGTTATAGAACTTCATAGGCTACTACTACTACAGTTCCCCAGAGTGACACTGTTTACACCACCAACTTGATTTTGAGTTATATTGTCTTTATTTCTGTCTCTTCTTCAGGTAAAAGAAGCTGTGCTTTATAATACGGCAACAATTTTCTTTCATTCTTTATTTTTGTTCTGCCTGCATTTTAGTGACTACTTACAAACTGACGGTATAATTATGGAATCAGAGAGAATAGTAATGGAGCGTACCTATTAGAATGGCTTGACTCTTTTACCAATGTAGACTTATTCTACAAATCAGTGTTTTCAGCCACCTGTGATTTACGATTCCCATAAAATTTCCAGCAGAGATACAGACCCTGCAGTTTATTGTGAATTCAAGCAGACTGACAATAAATTTGCTTTTCTTACCAGCTTTTCAAAACAATGCTCTGCAATATATTTTCAGGTGCTGTGTCCATCCTTAGGTAAATAAATGAGGGTTTGACATACCTTATAGATTTTTCTAGGTACTTTATTAGTGTTCAGTCGATCACTATAAAAATGCCATTCTCCCTCCTTGGCTTTTTCTTCCCATAAATGCACATACCTCACTGCCTCTCACTGCTCATCTCACTTCTTTCTACCTAAAAATTAGACTACTGCTCTAAACTAGCTATCTCAAATCCCTCTTCTATATTGTCCTTTCCTGAAACAGGTGTCTAAAATAAATGAGATGAACTGCTCTAGAAAGGTGCCTGTCTCTCTCCATCTACTGCAGAGGGGCCCTACAGGACCAAATTCAACCAACTGCTTAACTCTTAGAAGTTTAAAACTGCATGAGAGGAATCTTTCACCATCTATACAAACACTCTGCCTTAGTGTCTGCACATGGTTTTGTTTATCCAGACCTCTAATTAATTCTGCTGCTTTTTAAAAACTTCTCTCCATTGTGTTGAGCGTTACAGTGCTGCACATCTTTTAATGTTTGGCAGACTATTTGCCTTCCTCTCGCAGATCAGTCTGGTCTTCACAGCTACAGTGGCTTCCATGAAGCTGTGTTAACTCATAGCAGTGGTGCCAGGTCCCCCCTTGTTAGCAGTTCCCCCCGATCATATGAAGGAAATATTGTGGCAGAATAATAATGCATCCAGCTTTAATTTTACTTTCTTTTGCAGGATGTCACCTGCGAGATATCTTTCACAAGTTTTTAAGCTTCTTCACGCTGACAAGGCAGATTTGCCAAAAAGGAAAATAAAATTGAAGCATGATTTGCTTAGAGTTATATGTGCTCTTTTTTCCTTTGTGTAGGAATTACAACTGTGCTGACTATGACAACAATCAACACTCATCTGCGAGAGACTTTGCCTAAAATTCCGTATGTTAAAGCCATTGACATGTATCTTATGGGCTGCTTTGTATTTGTCTTCTTGGCCTTACTTGAATACGCCTTTGTCAACTACATTTTCTTCGGGAAAGGCCCTCAAAGGCAGAAGAAACTTGCAGAAAAAACAGCAAAGGCAAACAACGATCGCTCAAAGTTTGAAGGCAACCGGGTAGGATTCTTTCATCTATATATAGTCTCTCTTTTCTTTTATTACAAAAACTAAGTATCTGAAATAAACAAAAGAAATCATGTGTAAAAACATCATCAACCACATCACGTTTTTGTGGGTAAACTTTGGCATTTTTATATTCAAGAACCTACACAGAAGAATATATTTAGGCATATAGAAATTGAAGTAAACATGATCTGTGTAACAAGTAACTGTAAGAAGATAACAATGGGAGTGCAACTAGCTTGAAAATAAAGGTCCAGATCTACAAACACATTTATTTGTTTAAATCAAATATAATTTAATTGTGATTTTAAGTACCTGCGTAGGGGAATCCAGGATCTGAGCATGCTTTTTCTTACTTCACTTAGAGCAGACACATTTAAAATGGGAGAGAACAGATAAGGGATTAGTTCTGTCGTGCTAATTAATTGGCCAACATAGCTGAACCACTGTGTGTGGCATTGTCATTTGCTGCTGTTTAAGACCAGCAGAAATTTATGATTCCTAGAGAAACTTTCAGATTGATTTCTGAAGCACTATATTGGCATGGTCTGGGCTGATTACACTTCCAGCCTATTTCCTTGCCTGGAGTATTACTTCATCCAATGAATATCCTTTTTGTTCCTTTGGAAGACAAATTCAAGGTATTTCACACTATATGATGTTAGCAAGCCATGTCAGTTTGAAAAAGAACATCTTTTTTGGCTAAAATGCTCCCAGTGAGGCTTCATTCAGTTCTGTTGAGTAAGACTGTTTTTTCTGTCAGCTATAAATTAGAAGAGTTCACAGTGACACTACTACCTATTTATTAAAGACCAGTATCATAAAAGTAATTTCTAGCTGTAATTGTTGATCCTAATGATTCTCTCTGCTATAGTAAATGTAATGCAGAATTACACCTAGTTATTGACACTCATATCTTGACACCAATAAAATTATTTTTGTCTACTATATTATGAAACCAAATTCTCATCACAATTGGCAGCACTACTTAGGACTAAGCTAGCAGGAAGAATGAATTCCCTTTGCTGGAAAAATAAATAGTTATAATAATAAAAAAAGCACATGGGAAAAAAAAAGAGTATCAGAATTGAAAGCAATGGAGAAGATTTTAGCTGCTAGCAGGTAATGCAGATGTATGCACTAAGGTTCAGTTCTCCCAGTGGAAACCATCTGGTGAATCTCATCCATTTAAATGATTTATATAATTCAGTACAAGTCATGTTAATGGGCCCAATAGCACCCCATGTCTCACTGTTCTATCTTGAGATCAATTGGTCTATATTGTCAAAAGAAGCATATGAACTTTAACTAATGAAAATGAGGGGTTTCCATACCCAGCTCATGTCATTTTTATATCCCAGATCTGATCACACCATATATTGGGCCTTTCTTTTCTCACTTTTGACTTACAACCTTTTCTTTCTGGACTATGCTAAGCAAATACCATGGATTTTTCTGACTTTTCCGCTGGTTTGATATCAACCATGTATGAATGAAATTAGGATACAAATTCAGCAGCACACCAGAGCTGAAAGAAGAGTATGTTGCTTTGTCCCTTGTAGTCCCAGCTGTGAAAGGGAACTCTATATGCTTTGTAGAAAAACATACACTCATACTGACTGTGAATATTTGCTGTTCAAATGATCTAGGATAAATAGTGAGGTATGGTCCCAATCTCTGTGGAAAACATTTTGTCTCTAGGCTCAGCTGGTGAAGTCAACAGAGCTTTGTTGCAGTCACTGGATTCAGTGCCTTCAGAGAAGCGGTGCCAGCATACAACAGAGAAAGACGGGGACATTGGGTAGAGCTGATCAGAAATCTTCCTTTGAAACAAAGCATAGACAGAAAATGCAGATTCAGTGGATGTAGGATGTCAAATCTGAATTTCTGATTTGAAAAACACTGGCAAATGCAAAGCAGAGGAAATTGCTCAGAGCAGGTAGGAGGTCTCATGGCTTTCAGGATGAGCAGCTCAAGTAAAATCCATCTAGCAGATCTACTTTGAACAAAGCTTACCAGGGTTTCCAGACATTGTAGCACTGAAGCAGGAAAATGGTTTCCATGGTTCTGGATCACACCCACCACATACCATGCTGTACAGACATCCATGGATGTAGCAGGACAGGTGGTTATGCCAGACTTTTTAAACATACTTGCGATGGAAGACAGTACCTGAAAGCTCTGCAACCTTGGCTCTGATTTCTTCAGGGGCAATAAATAGGCATTAACGTCCAGCCTATCCTTTAGTGGCTCTTGAAGATCATTGAATCTGATGGAAATAGCATCTGCTTGGCATTTGCTTGCTTCTTGCTTTAGAGTTGCGACTCAGGGGCTGGATGTCCCGAGAGAGGCTCACAAACTGGGGGGCATACTGCACAGTAAGGGAGGCTCAGAGCCACAGATGAAGACTACCTTGCACGAGTTCAATGAAATTATTGTTTTTTTCATTTTGATGAGGCTTCAGGCTTCCATGGAGGTTATTTCCATTCTGAAAGTGCAAGTTTCTTATCTTGGGAAATATTTCAAATCTCATGTGATTTGGGGCTGAGCAACATTTTTAAAGACTGGGAGAGTGCCTAAAAACAGGCAGCCCCCTTTGCAGCTATCACCACTATTTGATGACTGACAAAACGTACGCTGTGCTGGAAAGAAGACTGAAAAGGGTTCAGATATAAAACTGGAAGAAGGCATTATTTTTAGTTTGTCTCTAAGACTACCATTTTGAGTTGATTTGTGTTGCTGTTTTGTTTTAGTAATTGAATTTGCTTGTATACGAACTGTGTGCATGAGCCTGTCGTTGATTTAGAGGGCTAGCTCAGGACACTAGAAAAAAAAAACCCACACCACAAACCAAACCAAATAAATAAATAAACATTAGTCCATTTATTGTCCACATCAGATGCTGTAACTTGTGGGTGTAGTGACAGAACAACTCTGTGCTGCATCAGGTCCAGCCTGAGTCAGTGCTCAGACAGGAGGGGCTGCAACGCTGTGGAAATCACTTGTTTGTGTTGGGAGGCAGCACTAGCAGAGCGGAGGCAGCGCAACATATTGCCTGGCGTTCAGGCCCTGAGTTCGAGCGTTGCTCTTATGGTACCCGAGACTGGGAGCGCTGCTGAGGCAGTGTCTGTCTCTCAGGCAAAGGGAACAAGAGAAGGGTGAGGGAAGCCAATGGTATCCTGGGGTACATTAAGCAGAGTGTGGCCAGCAGGTCGAGGGAGGTTATCCTCCCCCTCTACTCTGCCCTGCTGAGGCCACATCTGGAGTTCTGTGTCCAGTTCTGGGCTCCCCAGTTCAAGAAAGACAAGGAACTACTGGAGAGAGTCCAGCGGAGGGCTACAGGGATGATGAGGGGACTGGAACATCTCTCTGATGAGGAAAGGCTGAGAGAGCTGGGTCTGTTTAGCCTGGAGAAGAGAAGAGTGAGAGGGGATCTCATCAATGCTTATAAATATCTAAAGGGTGGATGTCAAGAGGAAGGGGCCAGACTCTTCTCAGTGGTGCTCAGCAACAGGACGAGGGGCAATGGGCACAAACTGGAACACAGGAAGTTCCATCTCAACATGAGCAAAAACTTCTTCACTGTGAAGGTGACCAAGCACTGGAACAGGCTGCCCAGAGGTTGTAGATATTCAAAACCTGCCTGGATGCCATCCTGTGCAACCTGCTCCAGGTGATCCTGCTTTAGCAGGGGGTTGAACTAGATGATGTCTAGAGGTCCCTTCCAACCCCTACTGTTCTGTGATTCTGTGAAAATACTATGTTATTTTCACTTAAGAGCATTTTAGCCCATGGAAACCAGTAGAACCAGCATGGACACTGGTATTGTAGTTCATTTTTTTGCATGTCAGAGAATGAAGTCTGGTGTGCAAGCTAGCAGGCTTGGTTATAAACATTCCACATATAGTAGCAAAAGGGCTTTTCATGCTTTCCCAGTCTTATTTGACTGTAGAGCAGGAGAGTTATAATAACAAAAATGTTCTAGGCCACAAAATCTACAGATGTGGGTATGTTTGTGATTTATTTGATAATTGCTTTGCAAAGCAGCCACTGTTCATGCTCAGTAACTCTGCTTCCTAATGCATGCATTTGCATTGTCCTGCATCGGAGGTTATGGGTTTGAAAAGCCAAAACTGGCACAGCCATCTCCACGCTGCTGCTGCTGCTCTGGATGTGCCTCGCTAACGCCAAGCTTTTAGGCGCTTCCCTCCGAGTTGTTCCTGATTTGCTGCCACTGAGGCTTGCTGTGTTGAGGAGGGGTCCACCAGCTGCTGCCACCGAGCTGCCTGTTGGCTTCGCTGCTCCCGGTATGGCTTTCTGTCCAGCTCTGCCCATGTGTTAAAGCCAACGAGCCC